TTAGCTCTGAGTGTTAGCGAGGCTTGCTAATGTAAACAAAGACGTCCAAAACACTTCAGGCATTGTTTCTGATAGCAACTTTCTGTGGGTCCGCTGCCGATTTGATGTCAGATCGGATGGAATCTGTATCCGCTCGTTGTACACCCGTTTTTAAAAGAGAGAGGGTTTTATTTTCTGACGCTGCCTGAGTTCCCCGACACACCGGGGACACATCTATAAACGTATAAAAGACATCACAAAGTGCATTTTGCATGATAGGTCCCCTTTAAATTGTAATGTGATTAAATGTGTGAACCATTCATACCTTCACCATGCGTACAGTGTAGTGGATGTTTACAACTACTTTTCAATTATTTTAGAGACAAAGTTGAATATTAAATACCTATTTTGACCTGTGATTGTTCAATTTTCTAACTTTTCTCAAAAGATGCTAAGATCTTCTATTTTCATATACAATCCCATTGAAATATGATGTACATTTCCGTTTTCAAACTATTCAGAAGGAAGAATAATGAAATGCATCCTCTTAGTTTGTTGTAGTCACTCCATCCTTTGATATTCATGTAATCATTTTTGCTCTTCTGCCTCCTTTAATGTAAGTGAATGAATTAATGAAGGCTTGCTGCTTTTAAGCTCCTAGGCGCACACCTCTGTATTTTCCCTCTGCCCTTACTGTATATCACGCTCGTCTCGCTCCATGCGCTTCACTCCTAACCGGGTGCTTTGGGAGATAACTAACCTTGTATCGTCTGCTTTTATGTCATGGCCAAACTCATTTTTACCTTCACCTTTTTCTCTCCCTTGCTTTAGGTTTATCCCGTCCTCTTTCCCACCATATCATTCTCTTTCTTCTCCTCCCTACCTCTAGGCCTCGTTTCCTCCAGTTCTTTTTAATTTCTCTTCCCATTTTCCCGTTCCCCTTACTTCCTGTTCTTCCCTGCTTAGGCTTCCCTTGTGTTTCAAGAGTGATGCTCGGGTGTGTTTCATCTGACAAAGCTGGGCTTTTGTAGTTGGGGTCTGCTTTCCATATCAAAGGCTGTGATGGCATGATAAAGTTGCTGATAGATTAGGCAAGGGATCTGTCAGAGAAGAGTATGTGTGCTGCATGCATGAGTGCTAACATGCACGAAAGCTGGTTTTAAAAACATGAGCAGCTAGTAGGAATAAGGACCCTTGTTTGCATGCATTTACTACAAATGTGATTCTCCTTTATATGCAGTGTTAAAGGTGGGGTAGGTAATTTTGGAGAAACCAGCTCGAGTGCGCTAGAATTTGAAAATACACAACCGGAAAAAATCTGCCACTTCCTTACAGAGCCCCTCCTCCAACACACACGAACGCGCACATGACCAATGAGGGCACGAGATAAGTTTGTGCACAGATGGAAGGCTGACAGGCAGGTAGGCCATCCAGTTACTTTAGCCGGGCCGGCTCAGATGATTGGTCGTGCTTTTTACAGCGCCACGGCTTCCACAGATGACATTTTTTTATGGATTTATTGTCAAAGCACTTCAGATATTCATTGCTATCGGGATGTTAAGAGCATTCCATGGAATATAACAAAAAGTGTATCTCGAGCCGGTTTCTCAAACGTACCTACCCCACGTTTAAGGGATTTTTCCTTTATATAGACTTTTTGGCATGTAAAAGATCTGCAATGGCTAAAATCTCAAAGTTGAAAACGCCTCCATTGGACTCCTTTCTTTACTTCAGGAACATAGTGACATCACTTTGTAACACTCATGCTTTTATTTATGTCTAGCACTCCAACAAATTGTACATTATATACTATGGGGCGGGACATCTCTTAGTGGTTGACCAATCACAACAAAGCCGGCCAGGTAACCAATCAGAGCAGACTGGGCTCTGGTTTCAGAGGGTGAAAAGAGGTGCTGTAGCACAGGCAGTATGAGAAAAATAAAGAGCTTTTTGGACATTAAAACATGGAGACATGTCAGAGTCGAGGCACACAATACAATTATAAACTCCAAAATGAATGAGCATAATAGGGCTCCTTTAAAAAGCTACTCCAGTGAGCACATGAAGTTGAACGACACAGAAAATGTCCCAAACCAAAGAAGATTAGAGGCTGACCTTTGCTCTAAAAACACTGCATTCTGCTCTCTCCACAATGCAACTTTAGGCTGTTTTTATAACACCCTCCTTGACAAACTTACCTACCCCACCTTTAAAGGGAGCGATTTGAGAGAGACAGGGAGAATGAATGAAAAGCATAAAAGTCTTCCTAAACAAACTTCTTCCAACACTTTGCTCATGTTAATGTCGTCCTTGATTATCTACCTTTACGCACTGTGACAGTGTGTGGTCATTGTCACCTTTTTTTTAATGCTCTAAACGCTGTGGTTAAATTTAAAAGGTGTGACCGTCAACAGTATCTGTTCTCAAATTGATGATGTGGGCAGATACACAACGAGCAACCTGTGTGTGTGTAAAAGGTAAGGTAATGCATACAAAACAAATTTCCCTCGAAAGGACCATGCCACAGCATTATCTGATTATGGGCCCCCAGATGGTAGCTATAAGGAGACATGACAGAAGAACACACAAGTTGAAAAGGAAGGGATGAGAGGAGTGTTACGCCCAGATCTAGGGGAACCATAGGCTACATTTCCCTCTCCCAACTCTTCCCACTCCCAAGAAATGGTAAACGACACAGGAAATCAGCTTTTTGAGATTTAATAATTCAAAAAGAGGTGAGACAACCCCAACATAACAAACAACGTCTTTACAGAGTGTCCTTAAACTTGCCTAACAAAACAAATCAAATACAATACAGGCTTCACACACACACACACACACTCACAGATACAGACGGAGGGAAACATGTGTACACAAAAATGACATAACGACCCAGGGTCGTAACAAGGAGACAGGTAGATTTGATTAATGGATGAAGGGAGGGANCCAATCAGCAGGCTGAAGGTAGCTAATCAGCTAACGGGCACCACTTGCTTGCTAACACACACACACACACACACACACACACACACCCACACACACACACACACACACACACACACACACACACACACACACACACACACACACACACACACACACACACTCACAGATACAGAAGGAGGGAAACATATCTACACAAAAATGACATAACGACCCAGGGTCGTAACAAGGAGA